TCAAGGACCTCTCCAGAGGGCTGAGAAGCAACGATGTCAGTCTAGAGACTAAGGTGCGCCTGATCCAGGCCATGGTCTTCACAATTACTTGTGATGCATCAGAGAGCTAGACAGTGACTAAGGATGACAGAAGAAGAATCAGTGCTTTTGAGTTATGATGCTGAAGAAAAATCTTGAACATTCCATGGACCGCCAAGAAAAGAAGTAAATCTGTCTTGGAGAGGGTGAAACCAAGTTTCTCCTTGGAGAATTGGAGGATTTTGAGGCTTTACATCGCAAACCTTGGGCATGTGGCCAGGAGAGACCAGTCCTGGGAGAAGTACATCATGCTTGGAAGGGTGAAGGAACAGCACAGGAGAGGAAGACCTCAGATGAGATGGATTGATACAGCAATTGGAATAATGGGGGTAGGTGGGCCGGAGTCAGTGAGACTGGCCCAGGACAGGGCAGGCTTCAGAGCTGTTGTACGTAGAGTCACTATGAGTCACACAGGCAACTTGACAGCACATAACAACAACAACAATCTTGACTTCCTCTTAGTCTTCCTATGCACTGTCCAGATCTCTGTATACATTTGCTCTGCATATAGATCGAATACGTGTGGTGAAAGGCTATAACTCTAACATATACCTTTCCTGATTTAAACCATGTACTGTCTGTCCCCTTGTTCTGTCCAGAGGACTGCTTCCTGGTCCATGTACACATTCCCTATGAGCACAATTAAATGTCCTCGAATTCCCCTTCCTCTCAATATTCTCCATCATTTATCATGACCCACACAGTCAAGTGCTTCTGTATAATCAACAACATGCAGTGTTGTTTTCTAGTGTTCTCTTGCAGCCAAGTCCCATCTGACATCAGCAATGACATTGCCTCTTCCAGATCCCCCTCTGAATCAGACTCAACCTTCTGGCAGTTGCCCGTTGATGTTCCTTTCCAATCACTTTTTGTTTTTAACTATATTTTTATATTGTTAATTAAATCAGCAATAGTGACGACATTGTTATTGTTCACTATTGATCATTTGTATATTCTTTTGGATCACCTTTCACTGGAAGGAGAAAAATACGGTTCTCTTCCAGCTGCTTGGCTGTCTTCCAATTTCCTTGGTGTAGAGAAGTGCACATCACAGGAAGCGAATGGGAGTAACGGTGCAAGGTTCTTACATTATACATGAAGTGGTGTCTTAGTTCTCTAAAGCTGATAGGCTGGAAATACCACAAGTGGATGACTTTAACAAATAGCTATTTGAACTGTTAGCACCTAAGAGGTTAGAAGGCCACACTCTGGGTCCCAGCTTCAGGGAAGGCAGCTCTCCTCATGGAGACTGTGAAGGAAAGTCCATCAGCATCTGTAGGTCTGGTTTTCCCTGGAGATTGCCATGTGCTTTTTGGCTGCCCCTGGAATCAAGGAGCTTCGTCTTACAGGGGCCCAGTTTCAAAGAGCAAAAAAGACACACTTCAGTTCAGGCAATTATTTCCTGGTGATACTAAGTGGTCCCTTCCCCCCAGCTTCATTTCCTGCCCTTTATTTCCAGTGAGATAAAGGTATTACAGACCACACCTTAGGGGAACACCCACTGCACCCAATTAGGCCTTGATGGGGTTTGGGAGTGTTTCATTCCTATAATTATGGGGTTTACCAGACCGCAGGAGATCATTACACAGCTTCTGCATTATATCATTGCTGTGTGTCCCAGCAAATCCGATGCACAGCTGACTCAGCAGGGAGGTTTTCAGAGGCCGTAATCGCAGGGAAGGAGATTGCCTCTCTTTCTCCCATGAAGCAGCTGGTATTTTCGAACCGCACGCCTTCAGTCTTGCAGCTCAGATTCTTACCCCTAGGCCAGCAGAGCTCCCGATTATGTTTACGTATTTTGGGGGAACACAGTCCAATCGATGACAAGTGCCATAAAATTATGGAGTGCAGTTAAAGATGGAAAGTGGTGGTGTTGTTTTGGTGTTGTTTTTTTTGAAAGTGTTGTTAGTCGCACTGGAGTCATCTCCATCCGTGGTGTCACCTTATTTACTACAAAAAACCAGAAGCTGTGCTCCCAGGCCTGTATTATCATCACTGTCGTTGATGTCTTTCAGTCCAGTCGAATAATATTCTGTTCCACTCCATAAGGCTAGTTGTTGTGTTGTTATGTGCCATCAAGTTGCCTGTGACCCATAGCCACCCTTACGCACTGTCCTACCCTGAACGCTGTCCTACCCTGAGCCAATCTCACTGTCTCCAACGCACCTGCCTCTGTTACCTCAGTCTCTGTGTCAATCCATCTCATTCAGGGTCTTCCTCTCCTGTGTTGTCCCTCCACTTTTCCAAGCATCATATCCTGCTCCCTAGACTGGACATATGGCCTAGTTTTTAGAAGAAGAACACCAGTCCTTTCTTCCTGATCTAACTTAGTCTCAAAGCTGCACTGAAACTTGTCCATTGTGGTGACCTTATGGCTACTTGAAGTGTAAGTATTGTAGGTTCCAGCACCCTGTAAACAACCAATTGACCCCTGCCCTCTTCTGTGTCACCCTCACAATCTCTGGCACACTCAAACCCATTTCTGCAGTCACTGTGTGAACCGGTGAGAATCTTCCTCTCCTTCACCACCCCTCCTCCTTTCCAAGAGTGATGTCCCTCTCCAAGGAAATAGGCTTTCCCAGCAACATGCCCAGAGTATGTGAGACGAAGCTTCATCTTTGCCTGCAAGGGGCACTCTGACTGCACCTTCTTCTCTAAGACATAGCTGTTTGCTCTTCTGGCTGTCTGTGGGATACTTAGCACTCGTCTCCAACACCACAGTCCAAATACATCAATTTTTTTTTCCAACCTTTTTTATTGTCCAGCACTCAGAAGCATAGCAAGTGACTATAAAGACCACGGCCTGAATCAGGCTCACCGTAGTCTTCAAACAGACATCACTACTTCAGAATCATTTGGAGACATCCCTGATCACAGGTGTTTTCAGTTCAATATATCTCCTGACCTCCTGACTGCTGGTACCAAGCATAGTCACGGAGAATTCAAGTAAGATGAAGTTGGTGACTGTCTCAATCCTTTCTGCACCCATCAGGATGCTGCCTTTCAGTCCAGGGGCAAGGATTTTTGTTTTCTCGACATTAAGATGTGATCCATGTTAAAGGCTGCCGTATTTAACCTTCTGCAGCACGTACTCCAAGTCCTCCTTATTTCAGCAAGCAAGGTTGTTTTCTAGAAAGCATAAATTATTGAAGAGTCTTTCTCCAATCCTAATGTTACACTCTCCTTCACGGAGTCCAGCTGCTCAAATAAGTTGCCCAGAATGCAGATTGAATAGGTGTGGAGAAGGCATACGAGCCTGACGCACACCTTTCCTAATTTTAAACCACGCGGTACCCCCTTGCTCTGTTCACACAGCAGCCTCTTAGCCTAGGTACAGGTTTTGCATGAACACAATTAAGTGTTCTGGGATTCCCATTCTTCTCAACCTTAGCAATAACTTGTTTGATCCACAGTTAAATGCCTTTGCATAATAAAGCACACATGGACATTTTGCAATTCATCACGTTATATAACGGTGGAAAGATACAAGAAGCAGCTACTTGAGTTTTTCAGAGAGAGTTACAGATAGTAAGTCAGTAGGGAAGAGCAAACAGACTCCTAAAATTCAGTAAGGCCTGGAAACCTTCCCAGGGTTACACAAGGCTGTATCGTGCACCTGCTGAAGCCAGCATCACCTTCACCCAGGATGAGAATCGAGAGATCAGACTCTTACAGACCCCGCTCCTAACACCTTGAGCCCCACGTTGAACACTTAGAAGGAGAAAGACACCTATTTCCTTACCGTGAGAGAGTTTACCTGTAGGCATGTTGTCCAGGCTTGCTACCTCTCTTCACCTGATGTTCCAAACCAAATACAGTCCAAAAGGCACAGCATCCCAGCATGGACTCTTGGTGTATTTGGTTATACCAAGATTACAGGTATCTCTCCAGCCGAGTTCCCAGCGGAGGAAGCTGGCAGATTAAGAGAGTCTAAACTCAGACGGTGTCAAAATCAGAAACAAACTCCTGTATGTCAAGGAATGGAAGGAAATCCCTCTGGGAATGGATGGGGCATGGGCAGGCCGTTCACAGAAGGGAAAGTCTGAGTGCCTGCTGGGCATCCGCACAGACGCTCGGCCATGGGGTAACCAAAGAGAGCACGTTCCAATAGGATAGCACCGCTCTGCTGTCACCATCACACGGGGGAGATGGGAAGGGCATTATACCACAGGGTGGCGAGGGGCAGGGAAGGAGGGAAAGCTGAAGCAACGGTTAAGAGCAATCAGTCACTAGAGATCAGAACAAAGCGTGCAGGCTCCTACAGCCTAGCAGGACCACCCCAGAAAACATCCTAGAGCAACGCTGACTCCAGTCCAACACGGACGGCATGAGGAGGTTGACCAGAGTGGGTTTTGTGATAGTGGTGATGTTGAAGCAACGTGTCTGGCCACAGTGACAGAATGAGTAAAATATAGCCAGTGTACACTTTGAAACAAGGGTCTCCACACTAACCTCAAATCCACTGGGAACGGAGGGGAACTAGTGACAAAGGCAGGCTGGGTACAGTTGGGGGTGGGGGGTCTGGGGGCAAAGGGAGGCTGGGTACAGCGAGGGAGGGGGTCTGGGGACAAAGGGAGGCTGGGTACAGCAGAGGAGGGCCTGGTAGCAGAGAGAGGTTGGTACAGCCGGGGGTGAGGGGTCTGGTGGCAGAGGGGGGTGGGTACAGCCGGTGGAAGGCCTGGCTGCAGAGGGAGGCTGGGTATAGCAGAAGGGTCGTGGTGGCAGAAGGAGGCTGGGTGCAGCCGGAGGAGGGGGCCTGGTGGTAGAGGGAGGCTGGGCACAGCCAGGGTTGGGGTGGATATGAGACATGAAGCCTCTTGGTCAATGTCTGTACGTAAAACAACCTGGCTTGAGAGGCAGGGATCCAGAAATAGCCTGGTCCCTGCACAGACGCTGACACCGGCCCCCTTTCTCCCGCAGGGATGAGCCTCACTCCGGACGAGACCTGCCGGCTGCCGCTGAGCCTCGCCACGGTGAACGCGTGGTGCGCAGCGTACGTGGTGCTCAGTGCGCTGGCCGCGCTCGTCTGCGTGTGCGGGATGCTGGGGAACGGAGCGGTGGTCTGGCTGCTGGGCTTCCGAGGGCAGAGGAACCCCTTCTGTGTCTACATCCTCAACCTGGCAGCTGCTGACTTCCTCTTCCTCCTCTGCATGGCCTCTATGATAAGTGTAGATGCCATTGTGGAGGACGACAACAAAAAGCCCCTGGAGGTGGTGCGGAGGGTAAAGTACTTTGCATACACCGCGGGCCTGGGCCTGCTGACCGTGATCAGCGTCCAGCGCTGCCTGTCTGTCCTCTTCCCCATCTGGTACAAGGTCCGCAGGCCCCGGCACCTGTCCACCTGGGTGTGCATTCTCCTCTGGGTACTGGCCCTCCTGTTGAACATCCTGGTCTCTTTCTTCTGCAGCCGGTTTAAGGCTTACAACCAGCATCAGTGTTCGACCATGGACACTGTCCTGGGCATCTTCATTGTGGGCTTCTTGACACCTGTGATGACACTGTCGAGCCTGGTCTTGTTGGTCCAAATCCAGAGAAGACCCAAGCAGTGGCGCCGGCGACCTGCGAGGCTGGCCGTGGTCATCCTCGCTTCGGTGCTGGTGTTCCTGGTCTGTTCTCTGCCCCTCGGCATCTACTGGTTCATCCTGTACTGGTCACACGTGGACCCTCAGCTGAAGACACTGCTTGCTGGCCTGTCTCGCTTCTTCTCATCGCTGGGCAGCAGCTCCAACCCCTTCATCTACTTCCTGGTGGGCAGGGGGAGGCGGAGCCACCACGAGTCCCTGGGGGTCATGCTCAGAAGGGCGTTGCAGGAGGAACAGGATGGGGAAAGTAAGGAGATGCCCTCCACAGACACCATTGAGAGCCAGGCGCCCACAGGGCCAGCCCAGGGGAGCCCGCCCTCGGAGATCCGTGTGCCGGAAGCTACCTCCAGCCTGACCCTCCCTTGCTGCCCATGTGGACTGTTTCGGGGTGCCTCAGAGACCTTCCAAGCCCCTGTGCTGGGATCGCTGCTCTGTCATGCCCCCCAGCCTCCCACAGGAGGCAAGGCCTGGACCGTACCATGTGGCCCAATGATGGAGATGAAATGCTATTGTCTCCTTTAGAGCGGACGTTCTGGTTTCCAGGATCAGTTGTTATCAACCCCACAGTGACTGAGCGTAAGTGGACAGCTGCGGCCACAGGGTTTTCAGCGTCTGACTGTTCGGTAATCAATCTATCGGTATTCTCAGGGGTGGTCCTGGGTCAGTGTGGAAGTCCACACTCTTGAGGACCCGCCGAGTGAATGTGTTAACCCCTTGTACCCTGTAGCCACTCCACGTTCTGCGGAGAGGGCAGGTCTCAGGAACTCAGACAGGAAGTGAGGAATCCTCCATCGAGACCGACACCTGCAAGGCCAGTGTCCGGCCACATGTGTGAACTCAGCAAGGGAGAAGCCAACAAGCCCATCTCGTTCTCTCGCTGTGCATCTTTCTGGCAAAAACCTCATCTTCTCCAGAATGACGGTGGCTTCAAGTCAGTCAAGATGCAGATCAGAAACTCAGGGAGGGAGAGGCGAGCACGTTAGTGGTGTTTCACGTGTCACCTCTTTGTATAGAATCGCAGGGCTTGGCAATGTGCTGTGGGCAGTAGCAGGCGCTCCTGGGCATCAGGTCCTAGTGTTTCCAGGACCCACTTTCCTGAGCTCTCCCCCTGGAGTTCGCGGTCTGTCAGGATGCTAGACGGAGATGAGCTCTGAGCTTCCCCAGTTTCCTGACCCCAGTTTGCCGTTCAGAGCTCAGGCTCCCGCCCTGTGTGGTTGCTGGGTGTATGGAGGAGAGGATGCCCTTCCAGACACCTAGGGGGTGCTCAGGAGCAACTCTGGCATGCTCTTAAAAAAGCCCTTCCTGAGAGTTCATTCCGCTGACAAGCATCCCTGACACCTGTGTCATGCATTCTGGTCCTGGGTTCTGGTCCTGGTTCAGACTCAGAGAAGTCAAATGTTTTGTCCAGGGCACACACACATCTGGGGAATGGGAGGGCTTGGATTCGACCCATACCATTTGATTATAGAGCCCATGCACCTGATATTTCTCTACCCTGGGAAGTGACAAAGTGATCACCGCATGCAGATTTGAGGACAAACAGCATTTCTCTTCTCAGGGAGAGGTGGTCCCCGCAGGGTCCCTCCTTTACACACACAGAAGGAGTGGAATCCTAGAAATTATCCTTCAGCTCTGCTCGGAGAGATTTACAGAATGATGCATCCGCTGTGATGCTGTCTCCTCCTGGGCCAGCCTTGCTTCCAAGTCATTCTACCTTAGCCCTGGTGGCACTGGGGTGGCCTCAGGTGTTGTTTTTTTGGTGTTTTTTTGTTTTTGTTGTTGGGGGGAGCTCTGGCAGCTGAGTAGTAAAAAGCTGCACTGCAATCCCAAAGGTACATGGTTCAAATCTACCAGATGCTGTGTGAGAGAAGGATGGACAATTCACTGCCTCTGAAAACCCACTTGAGGGCCGGCCTTGGGTCGGCTGTAACTCGACAGTACAAAACAGTAACAGGCTTTGGGGGAGCTGGCTAAGGAGAAGTGGAGTTAGGGGTTCCTGTAGCAGGGCTCAGTGGGGCATAGCTCTGTGGTCACCCTCACTTTGGGGCAGAGTTGGGCTCTGGCTGGTCATCTCAGTACAGAAGTGACTTCCAGGAATATCATCACTACCACTGGAGTCAGCTCACCTGGCCCTGGGAAGGGGGCAGGGCTGGACACGGGACACAGGGCACGAGTATGTCACCTATAGTGTGTGGACAATGGGCAGTGGAGGGGAGCAGTACACGAGTGGAAATGCTGGAAACAGAAGCTAGCCCATGGACAAAGCTTCTGGTCCTCAGACTCGTGAGCTGCACTGAAGCTGAGATGACACAGAATTCTCACCTCCCAACAGGCGCCGAGCAGGTAGCACCTGGGGCAGAGAGCACTCAGGGCGTCAGTTTGAACAGAACATGTGAAATAAAACCCAGCAGTCTCTCTGGTTTGTAGACACTGTCCCGGAACCAGACTAGACATTGTACAATGGCTGTGTGTGAAGCTGCAAGATTTAGCTTCCCAGTCATCAACATTTTCAAATCAATCAAATCAACACGGGCGCATGCACAAACCTATTATTCTCTATGCATGAAACACTGTGAAACTGAATCCTATAAGAACATGATCACGAGCATGAGGACAAAAACATTTTAAAAAATCCTAAATGTGGAATAAAACTACGTTAAAAATAAAAATCCTGAATGCTAGGGAGCTCTGGTGGCCTAGTGGCAAGAAGCTGCACTGCAATCCCAGAGGTGTGTGGTTTGAATCCACCAAATGCTCTGCTGGAGAAGGAGGGACAGTCTCCTCCTGTACCAGTCAGATCTGATTTGACAGTATACATACAAAATAATAATAAAATAAAATAAATTTTTTTAAATCCTAAATGCTAAGTAATTAATAAAAAGATACTAGTAAAGATATTTTGTGAAGTTAATATTATCTGTTGCTTTGCAAAAATGTATCATTTCTCTTTTTTCCTAAATAAATATTTTCTTCTTTAATTTTGCATTTGGAATTTTATTTCTTTTTCCTTTAAAAAGATTTGCAGTACAGACATCTGGTCCCACTACTTAGGGCCCGACCTGGAGTGGCCAGCACTCTGGACACTGTCGGGCACACGAGGCTTCGTTGGGAATGACAGAAATGTACCAGTGTCTTGGTCTACACGCCTTGGACTGAAGAAACATTTTGCTGAAATACGTTTGCTTGTTGAGACCTGACAGGTCTGGTGGCTGGCACATTACAGGAGGTGGTTGTGTTATGAGCCATCGAGTCGCTTGTAACCCAGCGACCCCGTGCAGAACAGCCCTGAACCCTACTCTATCCTGAGCCAAACTTACTGTCTCTGTCTGACATACAGAACTCCACTACCCCTGTCACTGAGTCAATCCATCTCATCGAGGGTCTTCCCCTCCTGTGCTGTCCCCTCCACCCTCCCAAGCATGAGGTCCCTCTCCAAGGACTGGTCCCTCCTTGCAACATGCCCAAAGTATGTCAGATGGAGCTTCAGAATCCTTGCCTCCATAGAGCAGCCTGGTTTAACCCTCTCCAGGACCTGTTTGTTCTCCTAGCAGTCCATGGTGTATTCAATACTCTTCTCCAGCACCACAGCTCCAAGAAGTCAGCTGTTGGAGTCCGACAGCTGCTCAGAGGAAGAACCACAGAAAAGGCTCTTTCCATAAAGACTACAACCTTGGAAACCAGTGGAGGAGCACGATGGGTTGTAATTGAGTGAATGCTGGGAGTTTGGTTGTTCACTAAAAACTCCCTACAGCAAGTGCAGCTTCAGGCATGGCTGGATCTAGGTGATCTTACTCTGGTCTCTCTCCATCAGCTCTGACGTCTGCTGTGAACTTCAGTCTCCAGTCGGCTCCTGCCTTCGCTGACATAACCATCTCTCCATCCTCAGACTTCCACGCCCTTCCAGCCTTCTTCATCCCAGAGAAAGCCCTCCCCCTACAGCTCCCCAGCAACTCCTGGAATGTCACCTCACCAGGGAAGCTGGAGGGACGGGCTTCCTAGGAACCACACTGGAGCCCCGGACTGTGGACGCTGTGAGGGTGCAGCACCGTGGAGCCAGCTCAGCAGCCCCCACCAGGAAACACCTGGAGCGAGTGTCAACAGGCGTGTGACGCGGATCTGCTCCCTGGCGGGGGGTCTGGCTGGCTGCCTGCTCTCTAGGCTCCGGGGTTCCCTTGTGGAATGAGCACGTTCCACCCACCGTTTGTTCCTAATCAAAGCCAGGGCCTCGCCACGTCATAGGCCTTAAATTCACACCCTGGCTGGGCGCTTCGCCTGTCTCCTCGGCTCCATGATCTGCACCCCAGCTCTGCTGTTCACTGATATCCTGGAGTGGGGTGTTGTGAGAACTTGAACTTGCTGTAACCTCGCTGAGGAACCTGGCAGAATGTGACGTCCACGTGAACAGCAGAAGAGATGCGTCCCCAGGGCGGACGCGGGAGGTCCGGGAACAGAATCCCAAGAATGCAACCCCCGTCAGCTTGATGCAACTGCCACGCACGCAGAACAGCCACGGTGGCCTCCTGTCGGGCTTTAAACCCGAAGGTCAGCAGTTCTGATCCACCAGCTGCTCAGAAGAAAGATGGGCCGTCTCCTCCCGGAAATATTTAAACCAAAGCACACCGTTTGCTGTAGAGTCGGGTCTGATGCACGGTGGTTTCTGAGGCTGGAAATCTTCACATGAGGAGACTGTCTGCCCTTCTCTCATGGAGAAGCTGGTAGATTCGAACCACTGACCTTTATCTTAGCAGCACAGCACGTAGTAGGTGGTGCCAGCAGGGCTCCTTCCTGCAAAGATCTATGGCCTCAGAACCCCCTGCGAGGTTGCCATGAGCCGGATCGAGTGAAGGCACTAGGTTTGTGTTTTGGCTTCACTGACAGGCAGACAGGAGCCTGGTGGGTGGTGGTTAAAGTGTGTGTTGTTAACTGAAAGCTGAGAAGGCTGACCCTGCCAGCAGCTCCGTGGGGCTGGAGGGGGCTGTCTGCTGACACGAAGACTCCTGCTTGAGAACAGTTGTGCTCTGGCCTGCTGGAAGCCAGGGAGCAGGGCGCCTTGGTTTAGGTTGTTGTGTGTTGTTGAGTCAGAACCAACCCATAGCTGACCATCCAGCGGGTTCTCAGAGGTAGCACATTGAGAAGCAGGAGATTACCTACCCTTCTCCCACGGAGCAGCTGGTGGATTCGAACCACATGCCCTTGAGATCGCAGCGCAGCTTCTTGCTACTAGGCCACCACGTGTGGGGAAGTCTGAGGAGCTCCGGAGCCTACATCCTCGGAGTCGTGCTGCTCACGCAAAGGCCTGGCTTCCCGAGGGGTTCTAATCCACCCTGAGGGAGGAAGATGGGGCGCGTCCTCCTGCCCAATTTACAGCTTCCAAAACCTAGTGCAGTGCTGGCTGTGAGCTGACCGAACCTATTGCCTGGCCCTTGAAGTCCAGCCCATGGTGCCGAGGAAGAAAAGCCTGGTGATCTACTCCTGTAAGATGACAGACCCAAAAGAGCAGCTCTTTCCTGTGATACCTGAGTGAGTGCCACTCTGTGGCAGCTTAAGTTTAGAGGGTATTTGGTAAAAGAGGTGCAGGCGCTTTGGTGGAGAATCCTCGCCGTCCACCCATAGAACTGCACCTGGGTCCCGGCCAGTTCATTCGTGCGTGCTGCTGGGACGTTTCAGCAGAGGTCCCAGGGTGGAACACGCCGGGAAGACAAACCACCTGGGAAAGCCCTGCAGACTGCAGGGGTCCCCTGACCTCCTGGTGGTGCAGGGCCGGCTGTTGTGCGTGGTCCAGCCAGGATTTGAAGGCTGACTGTTGCGGTGGACAGCAACAACATTCACTACACG